TCCTTCCTTCCTTCCTTCCTTCCTTCCTTCCTTCCTTCCTTCCTTCCAATTCCCTTCCTTCCTTCCTTCCTTCCAATTCCCTTCCTTCCTTCCTTCCTTCCTTCCTTCCTTCCTTCCTTCCTACTTAGCAACAGCACTTAAGACTTATATATCGCTTTACAGTGCTTCCCAGCCCCCTCTGAGCAGTTTACAGAGTCAGCCTCTGGACCCCAACAATCTGAGTTCTCATTTTACCCACCCTGAAAAGATGAAAGTCAGTCTTGAGCCGGTTAGGATCGAACTGTTGGCAGCCGGCAGAGTCTGCCTGCAGTACCGCATTCTAACCACTGCACAACTTTAAATGATTTTTTTTAACTCAGGGGTCCGTCTCCAACCTTGGCTACTTTTAAGACTGGTGGACAATTCTGAACTCTCAGAATTGAATTGAATTCTGGGAGTTGAAGTCCACCAGTCTTAAAGTGACCAAGGTTGGAGACCCCTGCTCTACCCACTCCTAAAAATCTTTTCTAGGTCAGGTAATATTCCGGGGTTTCTTTCTTCTTTATTTTTAATACCAATCTATCCATCTCTGCACAGTCTAGTTCTCTTCCTAATTCCCTCCTCATCCAATGGGAGCGTTCTCCTTTCCCCAATATTGTGCAAATACAATCTGAGGAACCTGCCCAGGTCAGTGATGGGGAGTGTGTGTGTGTGTGTGTGTGTGTGTGTGTGTGTGCTCAGCAGTGATGGTGTTCTACCAGCTTGGCCCGATTCGGCTGAACTGGTAGTTCCGACAATCATCCGTGAGCGAACCAGTTCGCTCCAACGATCAGCCGCTGGGCCCTCCCAACCGCCCCGGTTCTATTCTGACTTTTATGACTTGCTTTTCAACCTCAGCTGCTCTGCGCGGCACAGCTGGATTGCCACACAACAGTTGTTGAAGACACAGGGAGAGTGCAGGATTGCAGGAGTAAACACACCCAACCAGCCATGCCCAACAGAACTGGGGGTTTAAAAAAAAATGTATGAAAGCCGCCCCTTGTCAACTCATAAAATATTTCTACGATCCTTTTAGAGTTGCCAACAGAAAGGGAGTGGAGAGGAAAGGGTTTTGAAAGAGCAGTGCGGCAGCTTGGAAATTGAAAGTGCATTCCATCAATAGTTTTCAAAGATAGTTAACTAGGTGACGGAAATTTCTGCTGCATCTGGAAAGCATGATGGACGACTCTGGGCTATGGGTGTGTCCCATTGGAGAATATAAATTAGGATACACCCAGGGGGGATGGGGGTAAAACCAGGGTCAAGGGTGACAATGAGTTAGGTGCCGCAGAGTCGGCTGCACCCAGGCAGTGCTGGCACGTTCACTCTCAATAAATCCTTTGGAAGTTTGGCTCAAGACTCAAGATTTAAAGGGGGGACGGGATGGGGAACTGCCGGAATCCTGAGAGACACAGGGAGACTGCAGGATCGCAGGAGGTGGTTAGTAGCAAACCCTCTGAGGGCGTGCAAAGTGCACCCCCACCAAGCCACGCCCACAGAACCCCGAAAACCACCCCTGGTGCTCAGCCCCAAATCTCACCTGCACGGCACCCGAGGGTGGGCTGTCTCCCCGCCAAGTGGGGCTGCCGCCGGCTCCTTCCAGAAGGCTGCTGGGCTCCCCGGCGGGCTCCGCTCTGGGTGGTGGGCCGGCCCCTCGGCTCCTCCCCAGCAAGGCCCGGTCTAGAGTGAGGCGAGTCTGGCGGGCTGGTCTCCTCCTCTTCTTGGTAGTCTCAGGGGGCTGGCAAGGAGGCCCCCCTTCGCTGTCCTCTGACCCGGACCCCCAAACTCCGGCTGGGCTCCGGCGGGACCTTTTGCGAGACCCCATGCCCGGCGCCAGGTCGTCCTCCAGCCAATCGTCTCCCACGTACTCGTCGGCTGGGATGAGAGCCGGTCTGGGGGGTCCCTTGTGCCGCTGGGGGCTGGGAGGGAGGCGGAGGGGGGCACTGCCCAGCCCAAGCATAGCGGCCTGGTAGTCTGCAGGGGGGGCTGGCCTTGCCTCCCCCACCAGGGTCTGGCCCAATAGCCGCTGTTTCTTCTTGACCGGCCTCAGAGGGGCCATGTAGTCCTCGTCCGCCTCTGGTTGGTGCTGCCGGGCGCCTGGGGACTTCGGAGAGGGGCTCAGAGAACAGGGTGCTTGGGGCTCGGAGAGCTCTGCGTCGAAGAGCTGGCTGGGGGTCTCTCCTCGGGGAGGCGGGGGCCGGGAACCTGCAAGGGAGTTGGGGTCAAGACAAAGGGGCCCACACAGCCCGAGGGTCTCCGAGAAGCTCCAGGACAGGGAAGAGGGGGGTCAACTGCCTCTTTCCACAGCTGCTGCTCTTTTGGGGTGCGGGGGGAGCTGCCTATCATTTAGGGCAGTGGTCAGCAACCAGTGGGCTGGGGACCATTGGTGGTCCGCGAGAACATTTGGGTGGTCTGCAGAGAAATGTCCCCCGCCCCCAAAGCAAATAATCCAGGCTGCGTGGGAACACAAGGCTGCTCCGCCCACATGGCCCGTGGGAACACAAGGCTTGCGTCGCTTGCATTGTGAACAACACGAGGGAGTGAGGGGATGGGGGGGAAGGGAGGAGTGGGGGAACTTGCCCCACTCGCCCCACACACCTGGCCTGGCCACCGGGCTGCTTCTTTCTGCTTCTTTCTTCTTCTGCTTTTGGCTGCACGCAAGGAAAGCAGCCAAAGTCTTTCTTTCTATCCCCCAAACTCCGCCAGAGATGAGTCTTTGGGAGCCTGCAAGGCCTCCTGCTCCAAGAGGCTCACAAAGACTCCTTTCTGGCGGAGTTTGGGGGAGAGAAAGAAAGACTTTTGCGGCTTCTGCTGCTTTCCTTGCATGAAGCCAAAAGTCTCTCCCTCTCTCTCTGTCTTTCCCACTGAGAACGGAACTGGAGAAAATATCCTGCGATCCCAAGTAAAGAACAATCGATCGGTAGGAAAACGGGGTGGGGAATTTCCTGCAGATTTTTTTGGGGGGATTTTCCCAGGGTCTGTGGGATTTAAAAGGATGAGTTTGGGGGTCCCTGAGGTCCAAGAGATTGGCGACCCCCGATTTAGGGGGCAGCCAGGGCCTGAGGGATAGCAGCCAGGCGCTCTTGGTGACGCAGCCGTCCTCCTCTGATGTTCTGACCTAGGCTTTCTCCCCCCCCAACAGAACGAAGCGGAGTCCTCGTGCGGATAAACCCCTTTTATTTGATTTACATTATTATTTCCTTTCTTTGTCAGGGTACAACACGTGTACAATGGGATTGGCTGAGCCTCCCTTCGTGCACGGCCCTCCAACACAACTCAGAGTAGGGACAGAAGTCCCTAACCCCCAATCTTTTGACACTAAGGTGACCTTGTTGCACAACGCGCCAACATCTCTCTATCTCCAATGAGTTTCCTCTCCAGCAAAGTCCTGGCCAACCGTTTTTCAAGAAAGCTCCCAATTACAGACCTTTATCAGGCTTGGAGAACTGCCAGGCCGATCTCTTTCAGACGCCACAATACATGGCAAGCATGCAGGGATGAACTAATTGCCTCCTGCAAAACCCCCCTCCCCTTTTGCTCCTCTTTTATTCCCTCTGGGAGGGGCCATTTAAGGTCCACCTGAGCCTTTACTCCCGAATTGGCCCTTGTTCCTTAATTGTTCCCTTCTTCTGGCAGCTCTGTGCATGACCACCCTGGGAACAGGCTCCAGCTGTTCTTCTTCCCCACTGATCTCCGGCTTTGAAGGCAGCTGATAACCGTCCGATGGCCCTGCCTCTGACGCAGAGTCCTCGTCAGAGCCTTCCCCAAATTCCAGGATTGACCCATGCTCCTCCCCACTGTCTGAGTTTGCCGGTAGCTCTGCCGGTGGGCCACAACATCTGTTTTGCTAAAACGGGGGTCCCTAAACTTTGGCAACTTTTAAGACAGATGGACTTCAACTCCCAGAATTCCCCATGGCTGGCTGGGGAATTCTGGGACTTGAACGTCCGCAAGTGTCCAAGGTTAGGGAGAGCCCGGGTGTAAAAGGAAGCAGGCAAACAGGCTGAGATGCCAGCTCTCTACGAGTTCTCACTGCAAGGATGGTCTTCTCCTTGGAGCGTGTCCCACCCCCCAAGCATGGCTGGCTCCTGGCCTGCAGCAACCCCCTGCCCCTCCCTCCCACCACCCTCCTGGGCGGAGCCTCACCCTGTTCCGCCATGGTCTTCCGTAGCAAGCTCTCCATGGCTCTGCACTGCTGGTGGGTCTCCAGGTCAAGATCCTTCCCGTAGAGCTGCACCCAAGCTTGGAGGGTCCCCAGGGGGCTCAGGCCCTGAAGGAGCAGAAAACACACGGGGGGGGGCCTTCAGCAAGGGAAATTACTTCTCCACCAGGCTGCAGAGAGAACAGGGCTTCGGAGGAGGGGACTGACCGGCCCAAAGGAGGAGACCCCCCCCCCACCAAGATGGCTGTGTATCCATTGGCTGGGGGGGTGGGGAGAAGGAAAGGGTCCCAACCCATCACTTTGAAAGGGACTTTAGAGTTGAGAGGACTTCAAGGAATGTCCAAGAGAGCAAGTTTGGTTGCGTGGGGAAGGCGCCAGGCTTGAAAGCAGGAAGTGGTGAGTTCTAGACCTGTGTTCGGCATGAAAGCTGGGTGACTTTCGGCCAATCACCAGGAATCAGTGAGTTTTAGTTTTGCCTTAGATATGAAAGCAGCTGGGAGACTTTGGGCCAATTACCAGGAGATAGTGAGTTCTAGTCCCGCTTTAGGCGTGAAAGACAGCTGGGTGACTTAGAACCAATCAACAGGAGACAAGGAGTTCTAGTCCCGCCTTAGCCATGAAAGTAGGTGGGTGACTT